TTTCAGCTCAGATGCAGAAAGTGGGAAAAAATGTTTCGATCTAAAAATGTTGGTTAAAGATGTAAATTGTTAATTATTTAAAATATGTTAATATCTTTCAATAAGATAAATTGCTAGTATCTTAACTGTTCTGTGCATTTACGATATACCGGTATACTGTTAAAAAACCATAAAATAGTGTAACATACAATATTTTTAGAAGAATATGAATCATTCGAGTAAAATTCATTATTTTTTAAGTAAACGCTTTTGTTAACTTGACAGCCATTCTACAAATCTCACAGACAGAAAGACCTGATTTTGCGAAATGCTACAGTTTGGTCTTTTTTTTTTAATACTTTCTTTTTTGTTTGTTTCTGATCCATTTCCTTCAGATACAAAATGGCTATCAAAAGCTGGAGTTATCGATATTTTGATTTTTCTTTTATTTCCTGAAATTGACGCGATTTAAAAGTGCTGCATTTGAATGTTGCATATCGCAAAATAGGAAATTGTGCGACTGGAAGCAGGTTTACCAGTCTACAATTGCAAGAGGTTTTGATGTAGCACAAAGCACCTATAAAACCTAACCTATAAAACGTATGCTAACAGTATGGTATAACAAATGATCGAAAACATATGGCAGACCAAGCGTGACATCAGTAGCACAGGATCGCTTCAGTGGTTTACGTAATGTTCATTAACGTTTCAAAATGACGTCAATTACAGAATATTAGCTGTCCCTGAACTGCACAGAATATCTAACATCTATCTGCAATTGACTACGGGATGCTGGTATCATCACCAGAGAACTCATACATGTCATTATCCTGAGCCCACAACACCGCAATATCGACTTCAAAGGTCTCAGACCAACAAAGGTAGCATTTCCAAAGCAACGCTGCTGCACAGGTTGATTCAGCCACTTGTCTAAAATGTTAATTGCAAAGCCTGATGTATGAATCAGATTGCATAAGCTTCATAATGAACGTTTAAAAAATGCCTCTGGGAGGTTGATAGATTTAGTGCTAGCAGTGTAATGATGTGGAAAATGATACAAGACTGATCTCGGCATATTCAAAGGACTTCGATGGGAAACGGTACTATGACGATGTCCTAGCTGCACATGTCTTCCCAATAATGCAACATCCTGGAGCCGTATTTCAATCTCACAATACAGAGCCATGTTCGGCTTGTTGGTCAAGCGCATTCTTGCAAAGCCTCAGCATCTTGGCCATCTAAATTGTCATATTTAAACCCTATTGAACATGCATTGGACAAAATGGATAGGCGTATTCGCTAGAGACAACCCTGTCCCCAGACTCTGCAAACAGCTGACTGTACATTCTACATTTAGAGTGGGATAGCATTTCCACTAAGTTTTTGAAACACCCATTTGTGTCCATTGGGATGACGTTTTAGGTTATTATTGGCGTCTGTGGGGGGCATACCAGATATTGATCTTTAATGACTTAAATTGTTGTAATTGTAAAATTCTCGAGTAATTATGGCATTAAGATTGTAGAACCTATTGTTTACCACACTTCTTGATGATCAATACATCAATTTACTGAATAATTCTTATGTTAATGTGTCACTAAAATTTTACTGTGCTTTTTTTTTCGAAGAGTATATATCTGAACTACAAGCATAGTTTTAAGGATAATTGAACCAAACAAGAGGCCCTAGGTCGTTAACGGTCACCTTATTAAAATAAAACACTGTATGGGTTCCATAGAAGTATAAAATAACACGGACTGAAAATTGAACTATGTTGTCCAAAAGAAAGAGAAATATAATGATTAAGAATCAACAAAATAATAAGTATTGTGCATCTTAATAAATCTTCAACTAGATCTATTTACTTGCCTGTATCTGTCTCCATTTGTAGCTATTGTCTTCTAAACCGAACAAAACAATGATACTTGCGACGTATTGGTAAATCCATCTCATTCCCTTTCGCATTGGCCTCTCTTGGTCTTTGAAGAATATTTAATGTACAAGGTATTTTTGTGGGGTTTTTTTTTTTATTTATCTGTAATTAACAAGTCTACCTGACCATTAAGAACTATGAAAGTACTTTTTGTATTATATAATAAAAAAAAATCTTGTATAAATCTCTTATTCAATTGAGCTTTCAATTACATTATTCATAGTGATTAATTATCGTAGGTGAATATCAAAGGGGAGTAATTTCTCTCAGTAGAATACCAATTTATAGAGCCCTGCCTAGTAACAGAACACTTGATCAAGTGGTCATCTTGACCCTGGACCCTAGGGCTACAAATTTCACAATTTCGGAAAATGCACCCTTGTTCATCATACTATACACTTAGTTTATCTCCTTAATACATAAAAGCAGAGGAGCAAATTTTCGAAGGATTCATGCATTTTCACACTATAATCAATAGAACCCCATCATAACACCAGAACCCCTGACCAGGGGCCATGAAATGTAGAATTTTGGAAGAGGCACCCTTGTTCATCATAATTATGCATTTAATTTGTTTGTTAAATATCCAGGAACAGAAAATAAGATTTTAAAAGAAATAATGCATTATCATTTATATTATCAAAAGATACCCTCCCCCTCCCCCATCCCCAAACAGAACTCCTAACCCGGAGGCCTTGAAATTCACAATGTTGGAAGAGGCACCCTTGCTCATCATAGGCATACACTTAGTTTATCTGCTAGTTATACAGGAACAATAGTTCAAGGAGTAAAGAAAAAGAATTTTGAAGATAGTACTTTTGTTGGTTTTAGTTTCGTTACTCAAGCACTAGGGGCAGGGACCATGAAAATCACAATTTTTTCCCCTTTACTCATATATGCTATAAAAAATAAAACCGAAATTGGTTTGGATTCCTTTAATTGTTCAAGAAAAGGTTAAAATGTTTACGGACGACACAATCGCACGACGGACAAAAACAGATAGCAATAGACCACCTGAGTGACTCGAGTGACATAATAAAAATCTAAGGCATGAATCCGGAAGATCCCTCGAATATAAATAGATAATGCTTTTGTCTAAATCTTGATACAGGAGCAGATCCAAGAATTTCAAAATTTTAGGAGAAATTTTTGAGGCAGAAGCAGGACAGAAGCATTTTTTTTAAAGTGGGACCGGGGACAACCTTGGAAAATAATCGATGACAAGAAAACTTGATCAATCAGAAAGAAGGAAAAATGTCCAAACTCGAAATTCCCATATGAAATGGGGAGGGGGTGTTTATTTTCAACTTTTATTTTTAATACTTTAACATGGTAGGATTTGACTTTACTACAAGAAAATTGTGTATGTAGGGGGTGCAATTGGTTTTCCAATGAAGATTTTAACAGTATTTTACATGCATTTGTTATTTTCAAAAAGGGGGGGGGGTTGTGGGGCTGAAACATATCTTCAGGGCTGATACTGATATATATCACATCCAGTGTGGATTCAAACCTTTAAAAAAGAACTTGCCAATTCACTTCGAATGTGTTCCTTTAATATCTCTGTGAAAATAGTTGTTTTTAATTTTGAATAACAGTAATTGTTATTTACTAGTATTTGATAAGCAAGCAGTAGTCATTTAATTGTATTTTCTCAAGTCGATTTATTCTGTATGTTTTAATTACTAGGTATGTAATAAATATAATAATGAACATATCCTTTTCCCTATCATATCACACCCTGTATCACATTGTCAGCACTCAACAAATATCAGCCATAATATGTGTATCACCATGACAGTTTTTTTTCCCCATTATATTTATACAAATGTGACCAAAGCCATTTAAGGGGTGCGATCATGTAGTTCTCAGCGCATAATTTTCAGCTGTTCTTAAGAAAAAAGTAATTATACATTGTTTGAGGTAATGTTCTATTACATTTTCAACAGTGAAATCCTGTATTTTATTACATTTTCAATAGTATAATATTGTGATTTATTTATTAAATAAAAGTGATATTCTTTCACAGTGTGAAAGATTACCAAAATGATACTCTGTCACAGTGTGAAGGGATATCAAAGTAGGAAAAAATGATTTCAGGTCTGTCATAAGATAGAAGTAGTACCTAAACCATCTTGATATAGACTAAAACTGTAGATTTCCTCCCAAATATATTGCTTAAATCCATGTTACAATGTTTTCAATCTCTCACTTGCTAAGATGTCTCAACCGCTCAACTATGACGTCACAGCCTATAACACTGGGTTAAGAAAAGACAGAGGCAAAGAGAAATCAAAGAAAATTCAATGTTTTGTAGTTCGATATGGAATTTATTTCACTCGTGAGACAGGATATTTCTTTTTTTATTTTCACTCGTGCTTCGCACTCGTAAAAATATCAAAAAATCCTGTCCCATTCGTGAAATAACTTCCATATCCTACTACAAGACATTGAATATCCTCTGTATTTTAAAAAATATATACATCAATTGGATGTTTAACGGTGAAATGAATTCGATTGACCCCTTGAATATTACAATTTTTTTCAGATTTTAGAGCGTGATTGGTTGGTCTTCCATTTGCAAAATTGGGCATTAATTTCAATTTTATAGTCACTTTGCTATACTTTGAAAATTTGGATATTTTTGACATTCTGACATATTTTGATATGCATTATTTAAGCTACAGAAAAAGAATGCACCTTTCATTTGAACTTCTCCGTTACAAACATTCAAAATTTTGCCTTTTTGCAAATCATTTTCACTACTTGTGCAAAATATGTTGTACATATATTATGTGAAATTGTCGTAGAAAATTTTTATTTTAAGTGTATCTTTTCATCTTTGTTGAATTTCTGCTCTCCGGAAAAAAAATGGTTGACAGAGAACAGATTGAAATTTAAGCACATTTTGCCGATACACTACATGTATATTCCAATGCAAGGCTGCAAATACAACACATTTGCAGGCCTATCCCTAAACAACACAAACTTGTGGGCGAGTAAAACATATTAAGAGTATAGAGAAACGATGTTTACAATTTCTTCTTTTTATGGCAGATGTCTTGTTAAATTGCATGTACAGTTTTTTTTACTTTGCATCTACTCTGATTGTATTATTCTGAAACCGCATTTCCATGCCATTGCTGATTATGTACCAACAGTAACTGGCAGCAGTATTCGGGCTCCATTTACAAATAAATGTCTTATCAGCTAAGGTGCATTTAAAGCGAGCGAATTCTGCCAAGTCTCTTTCAATAATTAACTCTACATCCTCATCATTTATCACTGAGCCAGTTAGGGTTTTCAGCGACACTTCGAAGGTTATTTCTTCCCCTTCGGAACATGTAGTGGGAACGCTTACATTGCAATTTGGAAAGTATGCCTCACTATTTACAACTTTCCCCAGTGAATTCGCCATGTTCTGGAATTCTAACAAATTTGGGGCATTTAGAACTTTAAATGAGGATGCATTGGTACGAGGTTTTCTATCAAAAGTAGACGATTTCAGTTCTGTCATACGGGCTTCAATAGTTGGCCATAATTCTAAGAAAGCTGCATTGTTCCCGAATCGAAGGGAATGTTTAAGAAAGTTGCATGATTCAACACATGCTTTTTTTAATTCTTGTAATTCAGAACATTGTAACTCAAGTATTTCCAACTTGTGTTGCTCCTTCTCGGTAACTTCATTGCACAAATCTCGTTCTTTACGTCGAAGTATTTCACTTGCATTAGCATAAATTGCTTGAATGGTGTGTTTTTGTTCCTCTGTCTTTTCAGGAAGATCAGCTGTTTCTTTCTCTACAAGCTTCATGACTTTGTCTATTTCTGAAATCTTATTTTTTACTTTTACAGAGGCTTCGGATAATTTAATACATTCTGAATCAAAAGCTTCAGGTATTGTAGATATCGTATGGCCATTATGAGTTGTGAAAGCACAGATCGTACAAACCGGTTTTTGACAGGTTGGCGAGGAGCAATACATTTCCAAAACTTTTTTCCCGTGATTTTTATCCTTGCAATAACTTTGATGTGTAAAGCTCTCTAATTGATCGAGTGAACAATCAGAAAGATCTTGCAATGCAATCAAATCATGTGACCTCATATCCACTACTTTTTTATGAATCTCCACACAATCCTTGCAAATAAAATATTCGCACTGTTTACATCTATGCGTGGCCTTTTGATTTTCAACACACATGCCACATATAAGGGTTTTCTGATTTGACGAGGCTTTGACAAAATCTAGTAAGTCTCTCCGTGTGTTGTCCTTTCTGAAACAGTCCAAACCATTTTCGCCCAGTGTATGAGTTAATTTACACTGAGGGCATGTTATTTTTCCTTCGATATGTAAGGCTTGGAGACATTTAAAGCAGAAGGTGTGTAAACATGGAAGCAACCTTGGATGGCGATCTTCTTCATTAAAAAGTTCAAGACAAATGCAGCACTCTAAAAATTTCTTCTGCAATTCCTCCAAATTAACTGGTGCGTTACTCTCCATTTATTCCTAAATCATGAAAACGTTCAAGAATTATTGGAATGGTTCGCACTGATTAATTAATTGCGTCGCATAAAACAACACGAAAAAAATTCAACTTTCGTTTCTATTCAGATCGAAATATGGATTATATCACTAGTTAAATATGGTAGATTCCAACTATATATATTGTTCGATTTTTTTCTGTCCAGTATGTATATATACATATAATTATATATAATAAAATAAAACCATTTACCTAGGTTTTGTAAAACAGTTGTGTTTTTCTATAGGTGAACTTCCGGTTTCTCAACAACAACAAAAAAAAAGGTAAGACAACCCCTAAGTTTAATGTGTGTGTGTGTTATTTTATACACAATTTCTAAGTAGATCAGATAATGTATGGTGATTGATTTTGCACTTAAGAAAGTTGCCTTGCAGTTTGATTCAAGGATTTTTGGCCAATAATATAGAAAAAGTCATTTTCAATTTATAATTAGTGATTGTAAGAGATTAAGAAGAAATTTCTACTCATAAATAATCTATGAAAACTGACCAAGAGAGTTTTGAATTTTAAAAAAAATCTCTTTTAAAAAGAGAAAACAAATATGAACAAATGACAAGAAATTTCAAGATACGTGTGTATGTTATACATATACATGTACACATGTATATACATGATGTGTGCCGTCTTCTTCTTAAGAAGCTTTGCAAAGAAAATGTACAGGAGTCAGCGATAAAATATGTTAGCTTTTTAATTCAAAATTAAGTCAAATCAATTTAAACATTAACTTGTAGCAAAATAATTATTTTTTTTTTTTAAATCAAATAGAAACCCATTACAAATTTTAATTGAAAACCTCAAACAAATTAAAAAAAACATCATGAAAATGAAATATTGAATTAAAAAAAATCTCAGCCCATCTCAATCCTCATGACTATTCATTTTTTAAATTTGAGGTTTTCAATTAAATTTGTTGACCTCAAATTAAAAAAAAGCTCACATATTTTATCGCTGACTCCTGTACATTTTCTTTGCAAAGCATTAATAACTGTTTTAAATATTGGTAGGACAAAAAAAATTAATAGTCATGAGGATTGATATGGGCTGAGATTTTTTTTTAAATTCAGTATTTCATTTTCATGAAGTTTTTTTTTTTCTTTATTCGTCCTACCAATATTTAAAACAGTTATTAATGAGTTTCAGAAATTCAACAGAGAAATTATATTGTTTTAAGAGTAAACCTTATATTTTTTAAGAAAACTTGTTGTTATAAATCTCACGTCTGATATCCTATTAACTTAATCACTGCCAACTATATGTTTGTTCCCTGCATGCACACTAACATTACAAACCAAAATGTAAAAAAAAAAAAAAGAGAGAGAAAAAATAGAATAATTAGATAAAAACAATTAAGAACAATTTCTAAAACGAGGCAAGTTATTGAAAAACAAGTTGATGAAACAAGAATACCAACAGTATCGTTAAAATTCATCATTTTGCAAGTTCTATGGTCGATACAATGACTTTTTCAGCAAACACAATCAATCATTGAGTCGAATGCTGACTCGTTTTTCAGACATACTAATTGTTAGGTCATAATTTACAAACTGGATTATCTACGGCATTTTCCGTTTGCCTGATCATGACAAGGAGCAAACGGCGAGTGTGACCGGTCAACAGGGGATGCTTACTCCTCCATGGCACTTGAAAAAAAATATTTGAATGATATTTTGTAGTTACAATGTATTCAACAGACACGATTGACCGAATCAGCCGTAATATTGATGCATCTGTAACATCACTACGTTAGTTTGGATACACAAATCTCTTTAAAAAAATTAATTTTAATGTACATTCTTCCTGAATGAAATAAGAAAAAAATAATCCGCATTTAATTTTTTTTTACTGTATATCGGATGTCGACGTTATACCGGTTCGAAGTTTATAGGGCTCGTATCCTGTTCTGACGAAAAGGCAAGTTACACGCGAATGCAACTCTATGCTGTAACTTTGTGCTGAAACTTTGTGAATTTAGAAAGAATTCGATAAAGAACACGTTTTATAAACAAGATTTTTAAAATAACTTCTTAGATTTTTAATAAAAATAGAGGGAATTCTGAAATATGTTGAGCTACAGTCTATATTAAAGTCATGTACATATAATAAGCTTGTCTGTTTTGGTATGCAATGAAATCTTGGACGTCAAGTCTCAACTCTGATATCTCGACACCTCGGATATCTCGACATTTTCCGATGGTCCCGTCGATGTCGAGATAACGAAGTTTATCTGTGTATATCAAAATTTACTTTGCTACCCCAACTTTCCCTTTCATTATTTTAAAGTACTCTGTACACGACACTTTCAACCGATCAGCACTTAAGTTTTAAAAGGTTTGATACAAGAAATTGTTTTATTGCCTGTTTAGATTTTTAATACCCCATTTCTATTAATTCAATTAATGTAATTTTTACTGCAAAAAGGTCACATATTTACACGCATTAATATGCAAGATTTTTAAAATAATAAATATTACTCAAACTATTTTACATAAAATCAGATTATATTTATTGCCATATTTACATCTGGTGAAATATGATAAAGGTTAAAGTGATTAACCAAAAAGTTACAATTTAAGTGCAAACTCAGTGAGATGCAATTTTGAGTAATTATATGAGCTAGTTATCTAAAATATACTCCTCAAAAAAAATCCTTAATATAACAAATGTCAGGAATGACATTACTTAAATTATTTATGTTTTATTAAATTTATTTCTGGGAACAATTATATATAAGATGTATCTATCTTAAATACACGTACAGTAACAACTTCTTTTTAAAAGAAATTCCTGATATATCTAAGTCAGTTGTTAATATAAAAATGGGCTCTCTCTTTTCAAAAACACTAATTTTGAACAATATCAGACGACAGAAAGGAAAAGAAGTAAAATTTACAAATGAATATATTCATTTCTAAATTAACAGTGAATGTTTCAAAATGCCCTAATTTTAACTATAATCATCTAGTAACATTACATCAGTTATTGTAGGCAATTTTCATGTAAAATTACAGTAAAACTTGCTTTGTACAGATGTTGTTTATTCCAAAATCTAGCCTATTTTGAATTAAAGTTCTTTACAGTAAATTCAATTGATTAAGTTGTTTTCTAATCTGGCTAATTTCTATGGAACAAGCAATGTGTGGATTAGACAAGTTTCACTGTAATAGTACATGTACAACCATTTAATCTTACAATGGGCCTAAGCTTGTATAAGTACTAACTTTAAATATTATAGTCCGCCATAGTTTTCTCACTCAAAACAAATATACAAGTATGTTGTACAGTGTAAGAACAGACAATTGTTTCAAATAAATACTTTAATCCAATTATCTTACAATTAGTTTTTTTTCCACACATCTGAAATTGAAAAAGCAAGGAGAAAAATCCAATGTGCCAAAGAAAAACAAACATTTTAACAACTGAAATCTTAATTTAGATTTAATTAGAAATTGACATATTTACTACTTCTAGTTTTCTTTTTTTTTTCCCATTTTTGGGATGAGTATATGTATATACCCTAGTGGTAAGAAATGACTTAAGCTTCCACCGGATGGTGCTAAATATACATTTCACTCCAACAAATAACTTCTTTGCTGACAAAAAGGGTGCATACATGCAATGAATAATTTTCTAAAAATACTGTTAATTACTAGAAATGTGTCGTGTGTGTTTTTTGAAAAAGAAGCATAGCAAAACTAAATGCATCACAATATTTCAGGAATGGTTTTAACACAACATTTCACATTTAATTGGCATATACACATTTATAAACAATGAGAAAAAAAATGGAATGTTATTTAACAAACATTGAAATTGCCATAATGGTGCTTTTGTAGTCCTTAAATATAATACTGACTATAGTTCTCAATTTTAATGAATAGATTTACCCATAACACTGTTACTCTAATGATAATTATTATAAGCAAGATTAGGATTTAAAACAAAATGCAAATGTTGTATAAACTGACATATATTTATGTCTTATAGAGAGAGAGAGAGAGAGAAATAAGGAGAGAAGATGGTGAAAACATTCCAAGCTCCACATTATACATGACTTGAAGATGTACATGTATTATGCTAAACAGCAACAGCTGTGGGATAAATTGATTAATATTGAAATATTCATATAAATAATTCTAAACGTTTAACTAAATTGGAATTCCTAAAAAACTGTGTCTTATGTAACATGTATCCAGCATAGACAAAGTGGAAATCTAAATGAAAAAATTTAAAAAAAAAAAAAAAAAAAAAAAAGGCCACTTATTGTTACTGACCACCAGTTAACCTGGTAATAATTTAATATTTGCATTATAAAATTGATAAAATAAATCATAGAATACTGTTTATCACATTTGTTACCCTCACCATTTGGTCCGTTTTTATATGTTCATAAAACTTTAATAGATATATATCTTTATAAATATAACATAACAATATAATGTTTTGAATAAAATGTTATTTACGAAACAGAGTATGATGTGTTTCCATCATTAATAAAAAAAATATTATGATGCTAATTCATAACACTACTCAACAACCACCATCTGTAAATACATGTATAAACAAAAACAAAACAATATAAACAAACAGCAGTTTTAAAGAAAAAAAGCACTACCATATGCTGGCATTTCAAGTAAAAATGGATTTCTCACATGGTTCACACATGGTTTGGTAAAATTTACTTTTGTGTCTAAAACTACTCTGTCCTTTTCAAATTCTGTAAATTAAAAGCTTCTGACCATAAGCCAAGTTTATATACAATTAGATTGTAATTCTATGGTTAAAGCCTTTTCAAACCACATTAGCACAGCACACACACTGTATTCCAAAATATTGCAAAAGGGAGAAAATGCACATCAACAATTAAAAAAAAGCATACATCAAAAAATGCAAATGTCATGTGTCACAGATGAGCTTTACCTCTTAAGTGTATCAAATCAATTCAAGGAATAAATTCTTAGATTACTGAGCTACATTCATCTTGATTGGATGCATACATGTACATTGTACAGTGCAGTACAATGTCATTAAAATTAGATCCTTTGATCTGCTCACCTCTGATTAATACACATAGATGTAATGATTGTAGGTTTGCAGACCAAAGTACCTTATTTTAATTAATGGATTAGGTGTTGTACATGGTGTGAATTTGTCTTTCTGACAGTTTTTCTTGGATTCAAAATTTAGAAAAACTCAATTTAGCAAATTTTGGCAAATATTGATGTACAAATAGTTTGAGATCATGAATTTTGTTCATGCCTCAGGAGGTGACTGTCTTTCAGTTGTGAAAAAACATTGGATGTTTTAAATACTTTGGAGGTGGCAAAGGCATACATGTAGGAAAATATTCTAAAGGTACAGTATTATGGCTGAATTAAGGCTTAACAACTCAAAATAGCAAGAACACACCCTAAGCAAGCAAAATTCACCATAAGCTTATTCAAACAGAGCTGTTGGTGAACTTATCATTTTCAAAGGTGAATCATTACTGGTCATGCAAACACATTTCTTATTATGACTTATCCTTAATAATTGACAAATTCTGCGACTTCAATATACAAAATTAAAATAGATTTCAAAACTTGGAGGTTTATATTTTTGTTAAATAAGAGACTACACTGTAATAACTAAACCAAAAAATATACCCTAAACATTTTAAGAACCCTAATAATTTTTTTTCTTAAATGTACAAAATAATGAATGCAAAAAAGGTTGAACTAAATTTAAAAATTCTTGAACTGAACAAAAAAGTTATAGATGTTCTGTCACACAGACTTCTTGGGCTAAAATTGGTCACATTTTCAAAATCTAATGAATAAGTCAGAATTTTCATCAGATACATAAAAACTATATCCTGAACACAACTGTTCCTGATATCTAAATATCCTAAGAACTACATCACACATCTGAATAAAATCCCAGAACAACCAAATCTTCTCAGCAGGCAAACAAACATGGACGGTTTTATTGCAGTTTAGTTTTGAACACATTTTTTTTTTTACTCTTTTCGACCCTCAAGGATTTTTAATATTGCAGCGCACTCTTCTTGTGCGTATTTAATGGCAGCTGAAATTTCCTCCTTCACCTGTGACAAAAATTAACAAGAATTAATTTCTATTTAAGTTGAAAAAAAAATCTTTACACCATCATTTTTACAAAGAACGTTTTCTTAGTTTACCTTTGATTTTTTTTTTCCAAACTCATTTTCCATTTAAAGAAATTACAAAACGTTAGACAAATTATAGATACGAATATAGTGATATTGCATCCTAATAAATCATATTTTAAAGCTATTTAAAAATAACTGCATGGAAGAAAAAAATGGGTTTTTTTTCTCTAAAACAATCTCTTAAAACTTTGTTAATCATATTTTAAAAAGGAAAAATATTTAACTCTATTATTATGTTTTTTTTTCATTCAGAATGAAACAAAAAATTGTCATATACCTGAGTTGTGAATTCTGGATCCTTTAGATCGGCCAGGTTTGTGTTTACATTGTAGAATGTTCCCCATACACCTGTCTCCAACATTCTTACTCCAACCTTCAGAAAATAAAGTACTGAATCCAATTTCTATCATCATGGAATGCACAACTATGATCTGATAGATAAATACGATATGTACAGTCTATTGTCATTAATTTACAGACATCTGATCACCACAATTGCAAATAAAGGGAGATAACATTAGAATTGCTTTAGTGAACATTTTCATTACTGATGCTCAGTGCACACATAAAATGTTTGTAAATGACAAGTTTATCAATTTGCAATGACACACTTTTATTATTTGACTAGGACTAACCTGCAGATCAGATTTGCAGTTAATGTTACAGATGGTAGCTAATTCTTTGATGGTCGGCCATAACTGATTAGCAATTCTGGACACTGTGAGTGGAACCTGAATCGCTGTCTTCAGACCTTCCTGCATGGCATAATCTCTCCTGGAAATTAAATACAAAAACAGGGCTAAAAAAAACATTTTTAAAATATAGTGCAACACAACAGTTTTAAACATTTCGTAAAACTTTCAAATTGTGATAGCTTTTGAAAATCAGAATGGTTTAGGTGCATACTTTGTATGGCAGATTTATCAGGCAAAGTGGCCACTTCATACTTACATCATTCTGTCTTCCTCTGTCTCTTTTGGCAGTTTTGTTGCCAACTGAAAAAGACATTAACACAGAGGTTAATTGTTCATCATGAAAAATCTTCATTAATAATGTATGTTTATATGCGGTTCCACTCTTATACCAGTTCAATTTTTGTTTGTTGGAGAAAATTTCATAATTTTAATGCCATATACCATAAGTACAATAATACCATATGCCAAGCATGAACATGTCATAATGAAGCACCTTACCATATATTCACTATATGCAGCGGCATCTGCATCCACAAACTGCATGAGATCTTTCATGGCTTTGTACAGCGGAGGGATCAGTTGTCTCATCTTACTGTCCAGCTCGTAATATTTCTTATTTCCGTAGGTCAGGAACCCCACCATACTTCCAAGGGAGGCACCCTTAAAAAGGTCATTAATACTTTCTTATTGAATTTCCATTTTTTTACATCATGTCACACAATTGTAACAGCATCCACAACATTTGAAATTTACAAAGTTTTATTACCTTTGTATCACTCACCAAATGTACAGTGGGACAAACCAAATAATTCATATAAATTTAAGGAATATTTCACATTTATATTCATAAACATATATTTTTAAAAGATACGTCATTGATAAAAACTCACAAGACTTGCTGCAAGGGCTGATACAGAACCTCCCCCGGGGGAAGGGGACCTGGAGCCAACAGTCATCACAAAATCCCTGACATCCATTGATATAAGTGGTCCACCATCAGCATCGTCCGAGATCATGTATCTAAAGCAAATTCAGACATGATATAGTCCACGAGATTCATTTATAAAGGGAGATAAATTTGTAGTACTATTGAAAAAATGCATTTATAAAGCTTTTTGTGTTTAAAATGTCAATTGATAATGAATCAGCATAGTTGAAATCTATAAATTTGTTTCTAAATTAGTCAATTTGATCTGTGTTATCTTTAGATATATTAAACTTGGCAACAATCTCTTATATGTACAGAAGTGTGGTGGTACATGTATCTACATTTCCAACTTCAATTCCATCATAACTACATATACATGTACATGAAAATAAAACAAGGGAGTAAAAAGTTTACAAAAAAAAATCATTGAGTCCAACATACTCAATTATCCTCTCTTTGGGACTAAATGGTCCTAAGGAATTAAGTCCTAGTCTGTTAATTACCTGTAAATAAAAAAAAACAATTGCAAATGTCAAATATATAGAAGAAGAAAAAAATAAGCAGAGTTAATTTTCTTACATGTATTTAAAAAATTGATGGTGCTGTATGTGACGTTTGAGCATATTTTGAATTTTTTTTTATTCATTTACATGTATAGCTATATCAATCAATAAAATTGACATTATATATTTAACAGTTTCTAAATCAGAGGAATACACTGGTGGTAAATTAGACTGGCACTTTACACCACAGATCACTTTAGAAATCAAAGATCCACCTACCAGTCTAAGTTTTTGATCCTCCTCCAGAATAAATAAATTCTCCTTCTTCATATAGTACTCAGCAGCTTGTAAAATGGCCTTCAGTGGAATCAGGCCCACAATCTGTGACCCACACACAGCTAGATCTAAATCCTAAAATATATATATACATTCTTAAATCAGAAGCTGATATATATAGAATTATACATCTTAGTATATAGTCTACTTGTGTGACACGTTTTATTAAAATTTAGAACAATACTTTTAGAGGAGTAACATTTTTAGTGAATTTTATAAAAATTCTATTTATAGTACCCAAGGCAACATTGTTTGTCCAAATAAAAACAGAAACACAGAATTATTTATCTTTATATAATCTACTTATGCACCAAGTCTTATAATTGAAATCTTACCAAAACCAAAGGAGGAGTAGCCTTTTGAATGAATTTTATAGAAATTTTCATTTTTAGTAGCCATGGCAACACCATTTATCAAAATCAAAAATCAATAAATAGAATTATGTATCTTAGTATAGTCTACTTATATACCAAGTCTTATTGAAATCGGCCGATCAAAACGATATAAGGAGAAGCATTTTGAAAAATTGTTAATGGATGGACAGACAAGGGACACCTTACTAATGCATTAGATCCTCTGGTCTATAACCAATAGAGCTAAAAATGGCTGCCACACCTGTGCATCTTTATTAACTTCTTCATAGACTTTGTGTATGGGGGTTACTTCATAGTCAGTGATGTTGACCGACACCTGGGCCATGTTGGCTTCCTCCAGGTACCAACCAATGGCCTGTACGTGCTTCAGTCGACCAGGCTAAAAATAAATCATGAAAAGAAACTTAGATTATTATAATTCAGAGTCAAAATTAAAAAACTGCATTAAAATTGTAATATTCTGTGGACATATCAAACAGATGCAAATGAAATATCAATATATTATTTCGTAACTGTAATGAATGATGTTCACAAAACTTGTTACCATATTGTCTGATTAGCATTATAAAGATCTGAGTATATGCATGCATGTTTGGAAGAAAAGAGTGTAGAAATGAAACTTTCTTAAATTAGTATATATTTGTTCATTCCAAATGCATACATTAATTCAAACTTCAAATTAACTAGAAATTTATCATATTAAGCTCTCAGTATTTATTTAATTACAAAAGGTTTTTTAAATCATTATGTCAGTACTAAGATAAATGACAGTAGGAATTCTTCTATATATAGTGAGGCATTCTTTCATTACATGTGCAACTATCTATATTGTGAAATCCAGAATTTCAAGACATTCTGGGTATTTTAAAATAAGCATCAATGAATAAATACTAGCCGAGGTTTTTTTCTACACAAAGAAATTTACTCAAAGGGATAATAATTATTGACTTTGCTAGATACAGAGTGCAAGAAGAAACCTCTCAAGAACATCAATATATTTTATTCAGCCTAATATTAACAACATACATTTACCATGGCATATCACGTTCTGTATTAACCCTTATACTTACAGATTTTGCTACTGATTTGCATAATTTAATATATATGTTTGAATAATATGAACATCCTTAATATTATGGGGTCATAATTCCTGCGGAATCACAATTTCTGTTCAATCCCCAGGTTGCTTGGAGATAGTCATTTAAGTTGTAAATAAATAGCACTTTTAGTACACTGTGACAAATTTCTGCAGAAAATTTGTGACTGCGTACATAGTGTAAATTAATTCATTGCAGAAAAAAAAAAATGTCTACAGTATCCATGTTTTACAGTAACTGGTACATGCTGTTATAACACAGGAAATTAAATAGTCACAGGTTCTTGTGGAACGTCCAACCCTTCCCTTATTAGTAGTGTACACCTCCGGCACTGTTGTATACTGTAAAACAACTTTAATTTATTTGTGTGCGAGAAATACCCGCAACTTACGCAACTTACGTCAACTTGGGAATATTAATCCCCGTGAACCATTTATTTTGCTTTGTATTTGTACAGAATGTTTCCTCAGTTGCAAAAATTAATCATCGCTGATTGATTTCAAACTGAAGAATTGCAAATAAAAGATGACTAATATAAAGATGAATAATAGTTGGTTTACAGTATTTTTTTTTGTCAATCACTTTTGATTTTAGATTACAATTTCTAATTGAACCTCTTGAAAAAAATATTAATTTTCAGAAATATCATCCCAACTTCACATGTTATATAGTTGGAATATTTTTTCTATCATGATAATTGTTCTATTTTTTTTTCTCTGCATATATTTTTTGTAATACACTGTAAATATATCTTAGAAAAATGGATGAAGAAATTAACATCCAATTATCAGTTGGGCAGGGTGTTTCGAATATGAGAGACTGCATGTCCACAAGGTTAAGCTACAAAAATAGTTACGTTTTACATTTTCCATGCCCCAGCACAAAAAATATTAATATTGCAATCAAAATTCTAATACCACAGTAATTTGTTTATATCACTTCCACATAAAACAGAAAAATCTGAATTTATATATATTTTTGGGCCAAAATTAAAAACACTAAATTATATACATAACTAGCAAATACTTGTAAGTCACATACTTTCTCAAATGACAGTGCATTTTATAGATTAAATTTATTACAATGTATATGCATCAAGTCTTTTTGTTTCCTAATAGCTAATATGTAATATGTTTGTATGATTCACATAGATTAATAAAAAGCTATAAAAAGATCAAATCAAATCAAATGTTTGTTCTAAATTTAAAAAAAAGGTTAGCAAAATTGAGTGTATTAAAAAATTGAAGAATGTTATTTAAAACACCATGCAGTGATTAGACAAAATCATAAAGCATTATAACTGCTCCCATTGGATATATATGTATACACTCAAAATATACACAAATCAGTGGTTCTCTATATAAAGTACTGATACATGTAATAATGCTCTTAAATTTCAAATTTTTACCTGGTATTGCCATTTAGTTCCATAATTCTAGAAATATCAGAGATTCTATTCTCAGAGATATGCAGTTTAAAATTTTTATTTTTAAATCTAATGACAAATCTAAAAAATTAAAAAATTATGATGCTATCTACTTATTATTTTGATTAACTTTTTTAAAATAATACTTTCATTTTTCGAAACCTTTCAGATAAAAAAAAATAATTGCCTAAAAATAGCAGTATTAAACTGATTCCTATAAAATTTCCAATTGAAAAAGTCATTTATTTGACTGATTAAAAGTGAATGTTAAAGTGAGCACATTTCACACAGGCTCTACCTACCCCTTCAACATCAAAACCTGTTCCATAGCACTGTAAAATACAGTTAAAAAACTTTTATCATTTATACAAAGTTATATAGAGATTCTGAAATTTATAGGATATTGTTTTCATGCTATGGGTATATACTTGACTGTATATACTTCGCAATTAATATGCAAGTTATAAATGATGCGTATTTCCAGTTGTGTTAGATTTGCAATTCAAGATTTATCTTTACTTCTATGCATGGCTAACTTTACCCATGATTAGTTCACTGTTGAAAAACTAAACATTAAATGAGTATCTGAAAATGACTGTGACCACATCTCAATAAATTTTTCAAATAAGGGATGTGACTTTTAAAGTACACTATAATATTATTTAATTTATTATTTAATTCAGTATATGTAGAACCAATTGTTAAGTTTGAACTTCAATTTAGATAATGTTTTTAGTTCTACATGTATGTACATTGTATATGTAAACATGTAAAACATCTTCAAGTTGGTTTCTACCTGATCTACATTTATCTATTGAACGAATAGGGACAATGACATGTACACGTATGAGCACACAATTCATACATGCCTTTTTGAACCTTTTGAGGTCAGATAGAAAAAGCAGGTAGAAAAAGCAAACTGGGGGAAGGGGTTAAACTTGAAGGGAGTTCAAATATACTTTGAATTACTGCATAAATACATTCAAACCATAAAAAAACATTTAGATTTGTTTGGCCTCTCAAGACAGGGCAATATACAGGGCCTTACCTGTTCTTTGCCGCGGCCCTGCTCCCTGATGTTGAGGGCAATTCTGTGTGCCTGTTCCTTTGTAGACAGGAGGTTAATGTTGTACGCAATCAAGAAATTCCTGGCACCGGTTACTGTAGCTCCCCAGTTCGGTACAAATTCTGGTGAACCAAAGTCTGGTTTCCAATCTGGTTGTGATAACTGAAGAAAATTAATTGTGAAGGTAAAGTTCAAATGAAAATATTTGTTGAAAGATCTTTTTATTTTTAATTATATACCCTTTAACATGTTTAAGTTTTTCATTCTTAACCTTAGACAAAAATTTTTATGACAAAGTTTAACATCTATTAATAATTGGGTAAAGTTTTCGACATGATTATGTCAAAATTTTCAGCATTTCACCAAATTTCAGACCACTTCACACATAACCAAAATTCCATTTTCAAAAAAGATCCTCTCCTCTGACAAGATCAGATAAACACAACAAATGCAATTCTACAGTAGCTTGATATATATATACTGTAAAAAATCCTTTATTAATGTTACTAATTAGTTAATTTGCTTGTACCACATCATATTACCTTTTCTGGCAGTCCCTCATATTCCCCTTGTCGAATATAAGGAAGGGATTTCCTGTCTGGATTTTCCGTGGCTTCTGCATACAGATACACTAAAAAGCAGACAATTAGAGACCAGAATTAAATGAATGCCAGAAGAAATTTTTAAAAACTATCTGTTATGTGAGAAGAGGGTGCTTTATCAATTCAATTATATAAATTTATTAAGCATTCTCTGCATTATAACTGTTAAGGAACCTTTTGTTTGGTTCATTATTTGATACTTGTACTTCACTCTCTGCATGAGAATTTTTTGTTGGTTATCATCTGATTAATAATTAATATGTGAAGATGGACCTGGTACTCCAAGTTCTAGGGCAAGTTTCTCTCCAAACTCTTTGGCACACTCTACACATTCCTCCATGGTGACGTTCTGTACGGGGATAAATGGACACACATCAAGGGCCCCCATTCTGGGATGCTCACCTGAAAAAGTCAAAATCAAAGATTAAAAAGTACAGTGCCATGTAATGATGTATCAAATCAATTAACTTGAAGGATATTTCTTCCTTTTTTTATTCTCTTGTCTCTTCTTTTTCAAAGGTGTTATTTCTTTCTCTTTTTTTCTATAGTAACTTTCATACAATTTGTAAAGTTTTCTTTTAAAAAAAAACACACTGTGATTAGATTTCACAAATATGTATTATTAAGATGCATTTGAAAAGAAGGGATTAAAGAGAGCACTAACACAGTCAGGATACTTGTCTGTAAGTGTAAGACCCTTGGTCCGGGCATTTTCCCCACCTATAATGATGTAATCCTCTTTTATTTTGGTATCCCCCCTAAACTCTCCATTAGGGGAGGAAACCCATACCCCCATCTACTTTTTTAATTTCCCCTTCTTTTTCAATTCTTAAAGACAACCCTGATGGTTGACATTTATTAAAACAAGAGGCCTAAGGGCCTTAAGGGTCACCTGAATATAATAAAACACTGTAAAAGATCCAACATTAGATTGAAATATAAAACAAATAAACTGATAGATGAAGATAAATTGCCCAAAAGCAAGAGAGAAAATATGCTCAGTGATCAATAAAATAGTTAATTTAGGACTCGGTAACAAATCATAAAGGAGACCTATTTATTTGCCTGTGTTTGCCACTGCTAATACACTCTCATTTGTCACTATCGCCATGTAGACCAAACAAAACAATAGTGCTAGAGCACATTTAAACCATCTACTGTAACACCCTCTCAGATTGGCCTCTCTTCGTCTTCGGAGAACTTTTAATGTATAAAGGTATTTTATATCATTTTTATTTCCTTTTTAAATACAAGTCTAGCTGACCACTTGTAAGTACCTTTATTAAGTATTATACATAAACTTTTTAATTTTTTTTTTATTCTATTGACCTATTAATTATACATTATTAATTGTGATTAATTATCATAGGTGAATATCAAAGAGGAATAACTTCTCAAAGTACCATACAAATTTCTCTATAAGATCAATACAGCCCTAACCAGCAACAGAACACTTCACAAGTCTGGTAAAATTACCCTTGCTCATAACAACTTTATAGGGCTCTGTTTGCCTCTTTAGGTTTTCAAAGAATGAATGTATTTTCACTATATGTTTTCAACAAACTCTCACTCTAACACCAGAAGTCCTGACCCAGGGGCCATAAATAGTCACAGTTTGGAAGAGACACCCTTGCTCATCATAACCATGGACTTAGTATGTTTATTAAATACCCATGAGCGAATTATATTTTCAAAAAATAACGCATTTTTACTACCGGTATATAATCAATAGAACCCCAATCTAACATCAGAACCCCTGACCCAGAGGCCATGAAATTAAAATTTTGGAAGAGGCACCTTTGCTCATCATCACCATGCACTTAGTTCCTTTGCTTAATATACAGGGGGAGAGAATTTTTAATTTTAATTTAAAGGAATTTAAGCACTTTTATGATCAATTGAGCCGCATCCTAACTCCAGAACCCCTGACCCTGGGGCCATCAATTTCACAATTAGGTAAAAGACTCATTGTATGTTATAATCATGCCAACAGTTTGACTGCTTGATGTTCTGGAGTAGAGAAGAAGATTTTTGAATACTGCATTAATTTTGAAGGTTTTTGGCTCCACCCCTCACAACGTACGGAAGCAGGGGCCATGAAATTCATTATTTTTGTCCCCCTTTGCCCATAGATGCTCCATACCTGTCCAAAATTGGTTGAAATTGGTTCTGCGGTTGATGAGATGAAGCTGAAAATGCTCAAAAGTTTACGACTGACGAACGACGGACATTGCATAATGAATGACGAAAACAGATTGCAATAGGTCACCTGAGTCACTCAGGTGAAAAAGTCTTAGCTGTAACTTCAAATTCAAACATTTGCATGCTGAATCATGCATAGTGAAACTCGCTTTCTAACAATATGCAATTTACATTCCAAAGGTACAATGTGTAAATTCAAAGATATTTTATTTATTCAGTGCAGGCTATTAAGCAAATATAAACTTCATTAACATATGTCAATGTTTACTTCTGTTTTAATGGATATATCTATATATCTTCTCATAAGTCTAAATGACTAAAATAAACTCATTTTTAAACAATTCTTGGGTCCTGTCAAAATCAAATGAATTAATATGTAAAATTCTTACAGGGCAGTTCATTGTGTGCTTCCCCAATTAAAGAAGGGAACACATTTTTAAACTGTATAACCTTTAGTAATTCTCATTTATTTAAAGACATGTTCATGCATAAATTACACACACTGTACATTCTCTCTTTCTCTCTCTCTTTCTCTCTCTCTCACCTTTGTGTCTCCTCATATCAATAGCTTGATAAGCCACCCTAGCTCCATTAAGGGCGCCCTCTACAATGGCCTCTGGTGACCCCACAAATGTGTACACAGTACGATTAGTGGACGCTCCAGGGTCAACATCCAACAAGTTGCATCCCTCTGTAGAGGCAATAGCATTGGCAATAGCCTCTATCACCTGTTATAGAAATCAAACCATCTTAATCTTAATCTGAATATATTGCAGTGCTAGCTATTCGCTGCATTTACATAACAGAGATATTTGAATTAACAGCTTAATGATATACACTTGTTTCAGGACATCATGTTTGTCCTTGACTCACAACATTAAATTATGCATATTATTTAGTATTAGGGAGTCTTAATACACGACTCATGCCTGTAAATAATTAATCCAAATTACAGTGGAACTAAAGTACACAAATGCACTGACATTATGCAAGGTGACAGCAGTGATACATGTTAATATACACTCACTAAAACTGTATATGTCATATACATATCATCTACCAGGTAGACTACACTCTCTCTCTCTCTCTCTCTCTCTCTCTCTCTATATATATATATATATATATATATATATAAAAGATAAATTTAAGTCCTACCTGATGCAAAATTTTTTTTTTTAAATATATATTTAATTTTTAGCATCTTTAATGTCAACTATTACAGCGTTTAACTGTCCTTTGCAAAATGCCATTATTTCAAGACAATAAATCATCTTCATCAACCTCCGTGGTTTTAATTGCCCTAATTTGCATAAAAATGTTAGGTCTTTCCATGATAATATCTACAGTATTTTATCTAAGAGAAGTTAAAGTTGTCGAAAAAAGTGACAAAAAATTATGTAAAAGCTGCATTAACAATCATGTTAAAAATCGGACGAACGATTGACAATGAGCAAACTGTACAATGCATACATACTTGCACTTTGCATGCACAATCACGCATGCACGACCAATATATGCACCCACCTCCTTGTTTCTACCCTCCGAAAAATTCGGCACACATTCAACAATTCTTGGCATTGTTCTGTCCCAGAATTTTGAATTACTTCGTAGTAGATTGGATGATCTTATCTATCTGCTGTCGGATAGCTATATTTTCTCACACTTTGAGCTGGAGCAGGTGCCTGATTTCCGGATTTTTACTTTGTGTTATACGTCACAAAGCTTTGCGTTCCAACCAAGGCAATGCTGCAATGACGCGACTCTTTTCGTGTATGACGTTTTACTCACGACACCATTTTCATGGCTGACGGTAGCTTTTCCTAGCACATATTTTGCCGATTTGTTGGCTAGATCAGGACTTTTGTACAAATTAAGACAGGTAGTAATTTAAAGAACGGGTTACCAAAATTACAAATGGAGTGTTGACAAATCAAATTATAAACTAATTGCAACGATTTGGGATATTGTTTTTAAATACGTACATATTTAGCTCACCGGTAGAGTTTATGGTTCTATGCCACTGACTGATCGCCAGTAGGCTATTTGGAAACTCTACTGTAAAATTATTTAGATTAATGCAATACAAATTAGGGAAAAAAATGTATAGCAGCGAGATATTTACTATGCAACATTAGGGACTAGGGCTGGGACGATATATCGAGATATCGATAATATCGATTCTGTGTGAGAATGATACGCATATCGATACGTATGAAGAAATATCGAAATATCGCCAAAAAAATTCTGACTTATCTTTTTCTTTGTTTGCTTAACATTTTGGGTGTAATGTTTTAAAATAAATATGCTAAATATTAATATGAAATACATAATAATTAACACCACTTGTGTAAAATAATTTTGTTTTACAGCAGATATACAACTTCTTTGAATAAATTATTTTTGTTTGTGAATTAAGAAATGTTTTGTTCATTTCAATCCAAATAAAAGATTTTGAAACCAAATCAACATATCGTGATACATATCGTATCGTGGCTAAAATATCGTGATACGTATCGATATAGAAAACGTTGTATCGTCCCAGCCCTATTAGGGACATGTATATATGATAATAAACAACGATCATACTTATACCGGGGAAGGACCGAGTAATGGCCTGACATGAATATTATTAGTTATCAAGGTTCAATCAAGGGAGTTTGGGGATTTACCCCAGGTTTTATTCCATACACCCTGAGGCCGAAGGGTGTATGGAATACAACCTGGGTCAATTAAATCCCTGTACACCCTTGAGCTTGATTGAACTTGGATAACGAATTTATTTCCTATGTATCCAAATAAATTCTTTGTAAATAAGTCCAATCAACTGTGTTTCAAGCTGTTGATAAGATTAACTATGTCCTGCAATGCACTGTGACTTCATGTTATTTGCTTTTTATCATAGAGAAACTGTGCATTTTGACATCACATTTTTTACCCCTGGCTCAAATCAGGTGTATGGAAATTTACACCCGACTTTGTAACCAATCAAAGCTCGTGTTACAAGCTACATAGGAAATAATGTGGTTTATGGCAGAGTATAGTTATGTGGAAAACTGTTGTTTGTTTTGTTTTGTTTTTTTTAAGTAAAAAAAGTGAGAGGAAAAACACATGATAAAGAGATTAAAAATTTAATAAAGAAAGGTTTATTTTTTGGCCATGTATGTTCAAACATACCCATATATATCAGCAAAGCTGAGCATAGGGGCTTGGTTTCAGGAGGGTGTATTTTGTGTATTATGTGTTTTTCTAAGAGTGTCTGAATACACTCATTAAAATAAAAAAAAAATCACTGAAACTAGCACATTTTAAAAGTACTGTATATGAACTTTTTATATACAGTAATATGTTGATGGTGCGATCGTTAAGGCGAGCGCAGATACCTATACAATTTACATCGTCTCTTCAAACCACATGTGACATTTGGTACATCTTGACTCTGACGTCACATGATGTCGTATATAAGTTGCATCACCAAATCGAAGCCTGAACAGTTCTAGTTTTAATGAAGAATGTTTTATCTACTGTTTTTTCTGCAATATCCATAAAATCAATCTGATTTTACTTTTTTGTTGAACTTTTGTTGCTACCGCGAGAAAGTAGTTTGCGGCAAGATGCAGTTTGCAAAGCATTATGGGACCACAGGTTGCTGCGGAAAAAAATTTGTTTGGATTAATGTGCAAAGTCAGAATTTTCTCTTCACCCAGGCGTTGCTTTAATAGCTCACAGTGTTGAGCGGCGCTACCCCAAATTCATTTGTATAATCTCTTGCAAAAGTGATGAAAATTATTTTGGCCCCAGTGGGAGCGCTGCTACAGGCATTTGTATTTTACACACAAAGAAAGTATAACATTAGCTTTATTTTGCTTGTAAAAAAAAATTTTGAAGTACTTGTATGTACACTTGAACTTCTGCATTAAACTCATGAATAATATATAACATTTGTTTATTTTATAGGTAAACCTTAGAAGATGGTGCGTCCAGTGAAAAGGCGCAATTCCTCTGTGTCCTACACAAAATACCTCATTGAAGCCATCAGATATATCAGGTATATTTTAGGGGGAAATTTTGACCTAAATTCTTATGTTTCCTTCAAGGAAAATCAACTCTTCAACAAATTTTAATTTTGCATGTGATTTCCAGACTTAATTAGTACAAAATTCTGTTACACTGAAGAATGGTTATAAAGTCCATATGTAAGCACACTATATGCAGGGAAAATTTTGCACCAGAAAGAGTTATCTTTCTTTTAACACAAACTTATGTAGATGAATTGATATTGCAAGTGTGATAGGGCATAAAAAAATAACCCAGTATATAGCATGTATCTTTGATCAGATTTGGTTGCCTCGCCTTTTGTTTGAAACTCTTTTCTACAATGTTCAGGTACCAGAAACAAATTCCAAACATAGAGAGAATATCTCGTTACATGAACCGAGAGTATGGCCTGGCCGAGTCCTTTACAGAGAAACATCTACACTATGCCGTCAAAGACAACATCATCCACTCCTACATGGCAGTGGGTAAGAAGGGCAGCATGACAGGGGTGGAGCAGGAGGGGTTCAAAATTCCAGAGGATGAGGAGGAAACCGTATGTTTTATTTTACCTGTGCATGTACATATAGGAAAATTTTCAAAATAAGATAAACTTTTGTTCAAGATTTGGGATTGTACACATATACTGGTACTGGTTCAGAGCTGAATATCAACATCAAAATTGTTTCATAATTTACACTGTCTTTATACTTTTTCTGTAGGAATGATTGGGTAATCTTTGGTGTCACCTGATATTCATTTCCATTTCAAAAACTTTATATTACATTCATACATGTATTCATTGTGTTTGTTTGTTTGTTTGTTTTTTTACATTATCTATATCTGCTGTGTCTTATGCCATCTCTATCCAGGACTCTCTATTGTCTATAATTGGGGCTGCTCAAGGGCCCCATTCCCAATATGAAAAAGGTGCCTTTTTTCCAAATTGAATGTTTAAATGTTCCCAATGGTCAATTCTCCCCAACATTAATGAAAATATAGTAAGATTTGTAATAACTGAACTTGCTATTCATATTCCTCTGTATTGCAAAACAAAAATTTAGTTGATAACAAAGACCAGAAACCCAGTATTTCATGATTTTAAGTATTATGGTTATCCCAAAATTTCCCAAAAGGTCACCATTTTCCCAATCTTAACGTCCCGGGCCCCATTCCCAAAAAGTGGTGTGAGCCCTGCTATCTCAAATAGCATCTGTGACTAATACCGCTATCCCAGTTTCAATCTCTATCTATAATACCATCTCTGTACTTAATACCTTCTTTATCTCTAATACCATCTCTTTTCATAGTACCATAAGTTTTCTTAATACCATTTCTACCTCTATTACCATCCACCATCCTTCTCTAATACTGTCTCTCAATCCCTTATATGATCTCTATCTCTAATACCATGTCTCTCTATAATACCATGATCTCTATCCTGTATACCATCTCTATCTATAATAACATGTATCTACCATGCCTGTCTCTAATATTGTCTCTTTTTTGGAGCAGAGAGGAGACCATGACTGGTATTGTTTTGAGTGTCATACTGCGGGGGACGTTCTGCCCTGCTCTGACTGTTGGAGGGTGTTCCACCCCAGTTGTACCCTGGAGGAGTGGACGGGACCCAAATTTACCTGTAGTATTTGTAAGGTAAGGGCATGTACAAATCAGTCCAAGATTTCTATAATTACATGTATCATTAAGTACATCGAGTATATGCTTCATTTTTACATTTTTTTCTAATTTGTTTTTTTTAGTTTGTATAATAATATTGTCACCGAAAAATAATCAAAATGAAATGTTTATTAATGTAAATACTGATACTGTATTTCTTTCTCTTTTTTTTTTCCTGTTTTGTCCCCACAGGACATTGAGGTAAACTTTACTCTAATGTCTTCATTTTGCTTTAACTTTCTGTATTTAAAATTTCTTGAATGTTCAGGGAAGATTTTTAATGAAGGAGTTTATTGAAAATTGTTGAATTGTTATTTTTTACTTTTTTTGATGAAAGAAGTAAATACTTTTGAATTATGAATCTTCAAGCCTAGGAAACCTCAGATCAGCTTTATTTATGGGGAATAAATGTGTAAATGTTGTTTTATCAAAGAATAAGATAATTTTCTGTGATGCACCGTTTCTTTCTTCTTGTAGTACATGTACAAATGTAGTGAATCGTTATGAAAATTGCTTTAAAACGTTGAAGTTCATGTTTCTTTTCTGTCACAAGTCATGGTTTATAAATTTTCCTCATTTCTGGTATCTGCTTTGTAAATTTCTCATTCAGATCAATTAAAAAAAATATTGAAATGAAAGATGGTAACCTAATTCTGAAATTGTACTTGAATACTCTTTCAGTAAGGGAAATGGGGGGTGCTTTTTGTTTATATGGTGAAAGCAAGCAATGCTTTGGGCAAAACCCCTTTATTATCTTGCATGCCAGCAAGCAAGACACATCAAGAGGTGCTTTACATATATGTTTGTTAAGCAATGGGTATATGCATATGTATGTTGTAGAGTCTATTTCAATTTATAGTGCAAAGTTAGAATATAATCAATATAAGCATTAGTCCCACAGATATCCTACCCAGGCTTGGCTGCAATTGGTAGAAAATACCAGATGTTTTTTTATGGTAGCCAAATCTATATTTACCTCATAAACAGAAGCAGGTTTATTGTATTACTGCAATGCAGAGTATGCATAATAGTACATTTATTTCCAAATTTTTCCAATTTTCATTAGCAGTTAAAAGAAATGTTATTTCTGAAAATTTGTTTCTCTTTAAAATACTGAATTAAAAGTATAGAAAATGAAGAGATAGAAAAACTATACATGCCTTATGACATGTACACCAGTACTATGGTTACAAATGGCAAAGAAAGTAGGTCCATTTTAAGACAATTAAGAAGGCATCTATATACTTCAGTATACACTGTGTTATGGTCACTTTTTTGTAATATATTGATTGAAATTTGCTTAGAGGATTATCATGATGCTATACGTAACACCCCTATTTCTCATTGAAATTAAAGCACATTTAACAAATTAATGTACAATACTTATTGTATTAAATATACCTGCTGTATACTTATTCACAAGCATCTTGGTCTGTAATTATAGAAATTGCATTTGTTTAAAGTACCTCATATATTTATTCATGTAATGCTAATGATGATGTGATACATGACATGATTCAGGGGAAGATACACTGTGTTTAGGCAATAAACTTTTAGAAACTTCATTTCACTTTTTTTTTCGTCCAAAATCAGAGCAGAAATGCTTTGTGTTGTAATGTACTGATGATCACAGAGAGACAAATGTATGCTAATTATAAAAGTGTATTTTACAGACCTATCTAAAAACTGGTGTAAATTGCTGTCTTGTTCCAACCTTTTAAAATGATAAAGTGTGTTGATAAAATATATTATACTGTTGATTTCCAGGCAGCCAAACAGAAGAAGAAAATCAAGAGGAGAATGTTAAATACATTGTTAGGGTACACAATACAGAGAATGAAAGAAAAGGTGAGAATGGAGATCAAATCAGGGACAGATTTTAAAAATGGTTCGCTCCTCACAAAGGACCTCAGCATATTTTGTTTTTAAATTATCAGTCTTTGAAGCAATTTTTAAGCAGTTGCATACTAATATGTATTAACTTGATATTATATAAATGTGTATATGAAACAGTTTTGAAGAAGGAAAGGCACACTTTAGGAAGTAATTTTTAAGTACTTGCATTTTGCTAAGTTATATTATGCTGATCATATATAAAAAGATAATAGATATACAGTGTATATATACATAGGGAGTGAATTTTATTTCTTTTATTATTTTTTTTTTTAATTATGGGTTGTCAGACCAAAGAACTTCACAAGATAGGTCACAGAGAACAGGAGAAGAAGTTTGAAAACTTTTTTGTGTATAAGACGATGGATCTCAACCACATAGAGATGAGGGTAGACCACCAAAAATACAAGACGGCAGAGGAATTCTTAGCAGACATTCAACTCATCTACCACAATGTGTACCTTATCTATGGAGGTAAATCTACTGTAGATGATAAATTCAGTGTTTTTGGTTAGTTAGGAAGTTATTCTTTGTTGTGATTGGTTTCATTCATTATGATTGGTTAAGGTGTCATTGCTTTTGATTGGGCTTTATTTAGTTAAGGATCATTACAAAGCTGTTGCTTTTGATTGGCTTAAGCGTTGTTGCTTTTGATTGGCCTATGGGTCATTTTTTTGGTAGAGGTCATTGCTTTTGATTGGCTTATGGGTCATTTTTGGTAGGGGTCATTGCTTTTGATTGGCTTAGGAGTCATTGCTTTTGAAGCCTTTTCATTTGCTTCTTGATATGAATTATACTACAGCTGAACTTCAGAATCTCAAACACTGATATCTTGAATACCATGGATATGTCGAAGTGATATGGAAGTCCCAACCACTTTTTCTTTAAATATTTTACCCCTGATATTTCAAGTCCTCAGATATCTCAAAGTTTTTTCTCAGTCCCATCAAGTGCGAGGTTTGACCGACGTGTATAAATATATAATGCTATTATAAAAGTTATGGAGTGTGTATTTTCAGTTCTCTTGTAATGTGATTTTACAAAAAATATTTGTAAAACTCTGTATCATTCGGCATGAAATGATGTGTGATTTTTTAATTTTATTTTCAGAGGAAAAGAAAGGAATGGTGGAACTTGCCCACATTCTGGTCAAAGATTGTAAATATGATGTAAGTGATTTTACATTTAACCTATATGTATGAATAGATACAGTGTATCAGAAGTAATTGGTTCAGAGATCATTAATACATATACTGTGTAAGTTTTTAATTATGTGGCTACATTAAGGAGGGATTCTTCTTATGAGAACACTTATTTCTTATATTTAAAAATCAATGAAATTTTCACAGAATCAAGAAGACAATATCACTAAGTGATGGTATCAGTTAGATTAAATTTGACCATTTTATAGTAGAGGCAAGGTCAGGTCAAGGTCAGTACCTTTACCCTGGACATTAAGAATAAAAAATTACTGTTGCCAATCATGCGATGCCTACTTCTATTTCAATAAATTAAATGTTTTTCTTTTTGCATAAAGAGATATTACCATATAGGGTCTATAAGATGATATTACCAAATTGACATAGATAATTTAACTAAAGTGGATATTGGCTAATCGGAATTTTCTCTATTTTTCTTAAAATTTTAAGATATTTTAGTTATTTTTATATGCTTCCTATATTTAAATTTTTCTTATTTTCACATATGGTAAAGTTGTCACATAGAGATACAGAAATGATATAAAAACAAAAGTTTTGACCATTTCCTAAGAGAGAAAAAACACTTTTTACAGATTTTTGGCTCAAATCTGAACTTAGATTCATTTGGAAGCTTTTAAAAGCTAACATAATTGTAGTTTGTTAGGAAAATCATATTTATTTCATATATTTTAAAACTTTAGTCCCTTATTATTAATTTAACTTACATTCAAAAATTTTCTCCAAGTCTTTGATTGTGTAAAAATTATAACTAAATTCATTGTTCTATTATTATTTTGAGAGGCAGAAAAGAAGATATTTTCATATGCCACCATTCTGCCAAAAACATACTCCCTGCTAGATTTCAAACTCAGTTTACCATTTCTATTTAAAGTTGTACAATTGTGATGAGGAAAGAAAAATATGATCTTTTAAATCTCTTACATCTAAATATATAAAACATATGAGCAAATATACTTTGAATATTTCATCTAGTCAGAAACCAGACAAGAATCCCTCCTTAACAGTCTTACCTATATTCATGATACATGTAGATTTCGCATGCTTTTACTGACAAAAGTAAATTTATACAGTGAAACCTGTCTAATTTGACCTGCACTTAAGAGACAAATATGGTGTCAGAATAGACAGAGTGTCCGATTGCATAGTGTAAAGATCATTGAAAATAGTTAAATGGAAATGTAGACAAATGTCGGAATTCAGAGTGATGGGGATTGTACAGGTGTGGGATTAGACGGTTTTCACTGTAACATTTTTTTGTTCATTTTAGATAGACGAAATGAGGCAGTGTCAGAATTGTTATTATATGTCCAATGCTAAACCTAAAGACTGGTTCTGTCAACCTTGTGTAAGTATTCTAGAAATCTCTTCCATTTTCTAATTTGAAAGTTAAAGAATGCAATCAAACAATATTTGTGTATAGATGGTTATCTATATATAATAAGAAATGCCATAAAATAATAGAGGATTGAAAATGTTCTGAAATATTTAAAACTATGGACCATAGATATTAACTTTATCTGAAATTCAATTTCATTTGCTATTTGCAACCAATTTTGTTAAAGTTACATATATAAATTAAAAAAAAGAATATATCTATAAATTAAAAGGAGATAAGTGTAATTTGTTTACATGTGTGTTTTGCCTCTCACAGAATCCTCCTCATGAACTTGTGTATGCTAAGTTAAAGGGTTACTGTCACTGGCCAGCCAAAGTCATACGGCATGTAGCAGATAAATATGACTGCAGGTTTTTTGGTGCCCCACATCAAAGGTATTTATTCATCTCAAATCCTGATAGTTTATGTACCAGGATACTGTCAACCAACTTTTATTCAAGTGCGAGAAATTTCTGCGAGTTTCGCGACCCACTTTAACTTGCGAATATTAATCACCATGAACCATTTATTTTGCTTTGTCATGAAAATTAATCATCGTGGATTGATTTCAAACTGACGAATCGCGAATAAAAGTCGACGCGAATAATAGTTGGTTTACAGTATATATTTATAATTAGAAATATGCTAGATTGAGAGGAATTGATACCAAACATGAGAACAAAAGAATGAAAACTTTTCTTAAATTTTTTTTTCAGAGCCTTGATACCAAAGGATATGATAAAACCAATTGAAACCAACATTAAAACCTTGACTGTGAAAAGATCTGCAGGTAATCCACTGAGGGTGCTATCCTGTAGTTTGAGGATAGTGAATTGGATAGTCTGAGGATAGTGGAAATTCTACAGGATAGTTGAAGTTTAGATGACTAATTGATTTCATTCTCAGAGTTATCCATTAAAAGCTATTAAAATTTATTAAAGTTTTAATTTATAAATAGGTGTAATTACTTATTTGTTACTTACTAAACCTACATTTGAAATCAGAATGTACATTAAAAATTCAGTTTGATTAATCAAAAATTTATAAAAACTCATCTTTGGATTAACTCTAGTCTCACGAATAGTGAATTTAAAGCAGAACTCCTTATATACATATAGATTTTCATCAAATCCAGTTGACTAATGCCTCTCTTTCAAAATAAGATCAGAAACTGGTATGGTTTGTTGTGTCTGCTTTAGATCTAACAAACATTTATACAAAATTATACCTATATTATTCATACACAAACGATTGCTAGTAAAAGCCTCTCCAGAAAAGTATTTTTCCTGTATGTAAATGATGTAAGAGAAATCTGTCTTCAAAATTTAGAGGTGAGAAGAACTTCATTTAGTTTCTTTGTGATTCAAGGTTTTGTGAAAGCCTGCGAAGAGCTAGCTAGACATCAGAGGTTATTAGCTGAGAAACAGTTCACAGCAGATAATTCAGACTCCGAGAGTCTGGAAGAAAGTGACAATGGACCAGAGAGAATGGAGGAAGAGGAAGAAGAGGCAGAGGAAACTAGTCTACTGGAGGTCAGCTCCACCAGTGTCAGTCCAATGAAGAAGCGGATCTGTCTTAAGGTGAGTGTAGCTCCACCAGTGTCAGTCCAATGAAGAAGCGGATCTGTCTTAAGGTGAGTGATGCTCTACCAGTGTCAGTCGGTCCAATGAAGAAGTGGATCTATCTTAAAGTGAGTTCATCATCTGAGGGTCCATTGTCAGTCCTACAATAAAGCTAACCTGTCTCAAATTGAATAAAGTATGTGCACTGGCTGTACCAGTATCACTCAAATATAAAATATCTAAGATTCCTACATCTTTCAGGAAAGTAGTTCAAACAACCCAGGATAATTTTGTTTTCATAACCTTATTGCATCAGAGATAAGATTCTAGATATCACCTGTAATTTGTTTTTTCCCCAGGCTCCAACTCCAGAGGACAGTAATTTAGTGACCTCTAGTGAGGATAAAGTACCTAAAGTGATCACACTGAATGCTTCCAGTCAAACCGTTACCAAGGTCAGTGGTTCTGTGGTTTTTATGTTTTTTTGTTTGAATATCTACTACTTTATTCAGTGTTTAGCTCACACTGAAGACTTGAGATCTGTTCATCAAGAGACATATCACCAGATCTTTATGTACATTGGATGATCATCAAACTTATCTGATTTTTGTCAATTAAATTATGATATGTCTATTTTTAAAAATAAATGCTGAATTCTTGCTTAATTCAATCCATTTTTTTCCTGAAGAAATAACAGTTATACTAAATGTATCCTATCTTTGTTGGGTAAAATGTTCTTTGTAAATTAATAATAAGAGGCCCATGGGCCACATTGCTCACCTAAGTCACCTTGACCCTGTTCTAAAGAATGTACTCCTTAATTTCTCGTATTATACTTAATGACACAAGTATGCACCGAAATTCAATTAAATATTTTAGAAATAGAGAAACAAAAGTGACCTCAGGTATTCATCTTAAGAATTGAAAATCTCCCTTTGAAAAGAAAATAAGTGATTTGTAGTACTTTAAAAAATTTTGAGGATGTTTGTTTTAGCATATGTGCTCAATTTTGTGTAATAAAGCAGTTCTGTATCACTACAGCTAACCAAAAGCCAGAGTATTCAGACCGAGCAAGAACCAAAACCAGATTCAACTGATTCTAAACCAGAACCAGCCCTACCAATGCAATGCAGCCCTGATGCCTCAGATGCCAAGAGTGGTGATGAGGAAGCCCCTGTGCTGACCCCCAATATTGAGGCCAGCGAGGAGAAACCATCAGAAACCACATGTAATTGTAGTGAAAAGTATGAGAAGGTCATCAGTGATTTAAAGGCCAAACTAGAGAAAACCCATCAGGATGATAAAGAGAAGGCTCTAGAAGAGCTCTCAGATAGGGTAGGTTTAAAAGACATACAGTAAAATACATTTATAATGAAGAGCCAGGGATGGACGATTTTGCCTCATTATAAACATAATTTATTATATGCATTGTGTTCACAATATATTAAAGCCACATGGGGAATGAAAATCACATCCCTGTAAGCATCAATCCATTATAAGTGTGTTTACTATAAGCGTGTTTTACTGTATAGGGACTGGATTTTTCAATTCCTTCTATTATTAATTTCAAGCTGTCGTTTGACAAGTTTTTCTGGCATCAGGGTGAAGTGTAGGGGTTTTTCATGAAAATTATCATTGTGTAATGTTGAAGAAAAATGGAGAAGAAACTATAGTTTGTATGGATGCAAAATACCTTATGCAATGTAATTTCTTCACAATAAATGGTTTTAATTGCTAAAAGATGTTGAAATAATCCACATGGCATCAAGAAATACAATGTACACATGAAATAGATCACTGATATTTCAAAGCTTTCATTTAATTCCAGCTTCAAAAAGACTTTGAGGAGGACAAACAGCAAGCCGTGTCTCGAGCTATGGCGAACATGAATCGTGAAATTGAACGTACTAAACAGGCCACAGAGGAGAAATGCAAGAAAGAATATATGGAGGAAATGAAAAAACTGGCAGCTAAACATAAAGATGCAATATCTGCTACCAAGAAAAAGCAGTGGGTGAGTAGGAGAAAAAATGATAATTATAGTTAGGACAAAAGCCCCGGGAATGTATATGATGGTATGTTATCCAAGTAAGACCTTGTTCTTAGACAGACAGTATGTGTGGTATTTGTATTTCAAGTGAACAATTCTGCTTTGATTATGGATTTATTGTATTGCAACACTTTTTGTTTATATTTTTATAGCATAAAGATTTTCCATTTGTATGATTCATTAAACAATGCTTCATGTACATTTATTCAGCAGTTGTCTACCTTGCACTAAACTAAAATAGTTCTCTGTTATATTTGAATATTTGAGCTCTTTAATAATCATTATTCTTGAACTCATTTGAATTTTTATACTCACTGTTTTCTATAACTTTTTAGTGTTACAATTGTGAAGAAGAGGCCATGTACCATTGTTGTTGGAACACTTCTTACTGTTCTGTAAAATGTCAGCAGGAACACTGGCACAAAGAACACAAACGGGTGTGTCGACGGAAACGGTAGCCATTTAATTCAGGAAACATTCATCTACTACAGAAGAAAATCTGACATTATGACAATTAAGCACAGTGTATGTGCTTTACAGTGTGTTGATTCAGTGTGAAACCAGTACATGGAGGATCTAAATTTGAAAACTAGAAAAAACCATGTGGAAATTGTTGCAGCAGACTTGATTCAGTTCACCAATAAATATATGAAACTGTCGACCATTTAAATGACATTGCATTGTTGTATTTTTTTATGTTGATGACAAGGTTTCCAAGATGAGAATTTTCTACTGAAAAATTTTATCATGCTTTATATGTGAAATATAAACTTTAGGAAAAAAATTTACATTTGGTTACATTGAATTTGAAATTATGTAACCCTGAAGATAATTGTGCTCATCAAATTATTTTTTTTGTTAAGAATAATTTTGTAAGCCTTCACTACTGCAAAGGAAAAATAGTAATGGAGCTGAAAATAATCCTTTTGCAATCAGTGAAGGATATGTTTATGTACAGTACTTTAAATCATAAAGGCCATATGTACAATATATTTGTTCTATAAACAAGTTTCCATTGCAAACCATAAATATTACACACAAATCATTATAGTGGTGAAATTTTAGCCCAGGGAATTTAAACCCCTTTGCATTATTTATATATAGTGTAATTTATACATGTGCATAACAAGCAAATACTTTTATTTTACCCTTTTTTTACGTATTCCAAGGATTGTGAATTATTAGGTACATTTATATATATATATTATAATAACTTTTTCTTTTTTCTGATTGCAAGTAGAATTGTGAAGTTTTAAAAATTTGTGTGACTGTGTGAAATGATGGACTGGTAGATTTTCACTTTGAAAAGAATTTAATGAAAGAGAGAATGCTATTAATACTTACCATGAAAAGGCAGTTATATAATGAAACTCTAATACATTGGTCTGTCTGGACAATTCAACAGTGTTGGCAATATTGAGTGGCGTCAGTTACACACTTTTGACACCCCTTTCATTCACAGATTATATATTGCCTTATAGTCTAACTTTTCTTGTCAAAAAAATCAGGTGAGGATATTTTGATTTCCCTATATACATGTATCATTTTTATATGATAGTTATACTAGTTTGAACAGTTTTAGATGAAATATTGTAAGTTTTCTTTTTGCTGTATCAAGACAATTTTTTTTTCTTTTTATTCAATCATGATCATCTCTGTTCCCTTTCAAGACTGTTAAGACAAGGCAATACATAAATGTAGTTGATAGTGGAATCAGATGGTTTTCTGCATGAATCCATTGCACCACATGGTATATAATTACTATATGTCTATTGAATAAAATATGGTTTATGTTTATAAATAGGTGGTAGTGCCATACATGGAATGTAAAGATGAAAAATTTCTGACAGCTCTTGAATGATTGCAAACTGCTTAAAATGATTTCTGAAAAATGTTGATGGCTGTTGAAATTTTGATTTCTGTATTGTATTAAAACAATAGTAGAAACATTTTGGCAGACTATTTTTCCTATTTGTATTTTTAGCCTTATATAAAAACAATCTTGCTACAAAACTGTATCTTAAAGGTTTATCTTTATAATTTGCAATTCATAAAAAGGATATTTCAAAAAGTTTGAAAAATTACTAAAATTTATGTATTGTGTCTCTCTGTAAAAAATGAACACTTGAAATTAAGTGAAATGTTAATTTTGAGGATCGTAATGATATATGTTCAATAAGCAACCATTTTAATTTAGAAATCCAAAAAGCATCTAGTGTAATAAATTATACAAAGATTGATGTACACATTAAATGCTAATTATACATTGGCATGATTTTTATTTTTACTATTATATAATTGCTGTATCAGTGCTTTGTGTATGAATATAAACTTTAAATTTCATGTTTTGATTGAAATAATACCATACTTAGGTCTATTTTCATACATATATGTAGTGCTACATAATGCTAGAAGATATTATTTAAGGGGGAAACACCCAGAATGATTGCAGTGACCCTTCATGTAAGTGAGGTTAATCACTGTCTAATATTTCACTAAAATCTCTCATCAGTAGATTTCCACACTGTTAATGTTCTCTTTCTTTCATTTACTTGTTTGTCAAGTTAAAAATCAAAAATTCATTATCCACTGAATATTAAAGTTTGGTATTTTGAAAGCTCTCATTTCAAATAGAAATATGTTGAAGTGAGTCTGTAGTCCCAACTAAGGCTGAATGTGAACTCTGAACATATATATCTTGAACACTTTTCTCGATTACTCTGCATTCAAGACACTTTTAAAAGTTCTTTGAGTATAGAAATTCTTGCATTAAAATACAGTTGACATTTTGTAATTTGAACGTCAATATCTCAAATGCCGTAAATATGAGTGTGAAGTCCCAACTGATTTTGATGTGTTTTTAATCTCAATTTCTATAATCCTCTGATATCCCAAAGTTTTTCTTTGTCCGTCATGTTTGAGATAACAAGGTTTGACCGTACTTACATTATGTATGACTTGATTGAATTTGTTGATAGTCAGCTTAATAGAAATTTTTTTTTAAAGGAAAACAACTAAAACACCACAAAAGAACAGCATGTACACTACCTTCATTACTTGTAGTATTTTTATGAGGACTTAATTAATTCACATGGATTTGTAACCATCTTGATTTATTAAGCCAGCAGGGATAATTGTGACTAATGCAAAAAGAAAACTCCGCAAAGGGGCCAGTTCTCAGTGTTCTTCAGAGGATAGTTGTAAAGAAATACTGTCTCATGTGGTGTCTATTTCTTTTTAATTAACTCATCCTTAATATGCTTAATCAGATATTTATAGCTTAATTAAATTTTCTTTTCAAGTAGAGTAGTGAACTGTTTATCATCATTGTTCTTCATTTTCTTATGATATACCAATGATTCTAAAAGGTAGAATAAGTTTATTTGCTTTTTATTGCTTATCTTCACTAATAAATAAACTCCTTCATTATATAACCAATGTCTAGAAGTACCCTTCACTTTTTGTTTTAAATCTGAAAAGGCAGAGCTTAAATGGTGCAAATTTAACTAGTCAACTTCATCCTATCATCTAAATGTTTTGTGTTCCGATATAACAGCTTATTTTTAAAAAAAAAACAGTTGTGTGTTGACAACATTAAAATATACATTAGATAATGGTATTTACATATTGTTTTTGTAGAAATAAAAATAAAAACCAAAGTACTGTAATGATTTTTTAGTTATGATGGTGTATACTTGAATTTATTATCAAGAATCCATTTTATTGGTTTTGATAAATGAAAAATTCCACACAATTTACAATTTCATTAACTAGAATAGTTTTTATAGCCTTCACAGTCATGAACTAGAATAGTTTTATACTTCACAGTCTTAAGGCATGATGTGCAAAATTGTATATCAACAACTTTGGCATAGTTTCATTTCTTTCTGTTCCTTTTCCTGAATCAGAATGTAAATTTTCAATCTAAAGGGGGTTAGCATTTTTTCCAATACTGAAATTAATTACAGGAATGGCAAGAAACTCTCTTATACTTGAATTATTATTTTATCATTTATGTTAGTAAATATTCCATCAAACAGAACATAAGATGCTCTGAACAGTTATCTAAACCACTTTCAATAATCATATACCACAAAATTAATCTCATGTACATATAATGTGTGATTAATAAAGATGTCATCTTTACATCCACATCCAAGATCAGTGGGCTTATTCTTCTGATTAGTTTGGTTATTTGTGATAATCATTTAGCCATAGAGAAAACATCTTCTAAGGCCAAGCTAAGGCTATATTTAGGTGTTCGTGGTCAAATAGAAGTTTCTCACATTCTAATGATTTCTTACCACTGAAGACATGTTGTTTCGCTAATTCCCATAGGTTTTCTCAAATATATTGTTAATTAATAATAGGGGTTTTTAATCACTTAAAGTAGAAGTAGTTAAACTCTAGTCTGGATTCCCAGGGTCGTCCAACTTTTCAGAATAATCAGATTTTACACTGTGCATTTGTTAATTATTTGATTTGATCTGTTGGAATATCCATCCAAGTGGGTTTTTTTTCTCTTGATAATAGTATGTCTATTTCATTAATTGTGTGAAAAGTACTTTCAATTTTGTTAATGTAAACTACAAAACATGTTTATAATTACATTTTTATTGTCTCACTATGTTGAATGATTACTGAGTATATAATTATGTACTTACATGTATTATGATAAACCGTTATATGAAATTGTGAAAAAAACAGATTAAATATTTAATGTATAAAAAATAAAGTGAGTAGTATTTCATTGATGCTTGAATTAATTATTTCTAATGTAGATTGTCCGCCTCCGTCCCTCGGGACCCTCCACCCCCCACTTCACCCCCCTGTCTCTCACTCTTTACTCCGCTATTTTTTTTCAAGTCGGAGACAATTGAATGCATTTTTGTAAACAAACATTTAAATCTGGGATGAAGGTAACTAGAAACTCATTTATTTAAACTTGTTAATGTCAAATTAAGTTTTCTTGCTGAATTCGGTCTGACCTTAGCTTTATGCATATTAGCAAAAATGTTATAACAGTACTTTAATTAGAAATCTATCCTCAAGCTTACATCATTGACTTTCAGTGTCAGAACTTAGTGGTTTAAGTTTTTCAACCTCTTCAAATATTATAAAAAGAAAAAAAAACGAAAGTGCTTTTACACCTTGATCCTTATTTTGAAACTACACGGAATTTTTTTTCTCTCATAACTGTTTACAAAAAGATATTTTCTGAAAATCGATCAAGATACGTACGTATGTACTTTTTTAAATGGGGCATTATAAGTAGCAGCTGTTCTGTAAAGAGTCGATGAAGAAATCCTCAAGTTTACATCGTTGACATTCAATGTCGGAACTAACTGGTGTGTGTCATTCATCTCCACATTGGAAAAAAAACTCCAACTTCTGATGAGCTCACCTGAGCTAAAGAAATGCATTTTTGTAAACAACCTCAAGTTTACGTCGTTGACATTCAGTGTCGGAACTAAGTGGTGTGTGTCATTCATCCCCACATTGAAAAAACTCCAACTTCTTCTTAGCTCACCTGAGCTAAAGGAATGCTTAAGTGGCGCGCCTACCCCTGGGGTCATTATTTGAAAAAAAAAACACGAAAAACTAAACTTGAATCTACACCATGTAATGAAGTTTTCATGTTTATTGAGAATATTATTACTAGATGCCTTAAAATTTTCACTAATTCTTAATTATCTCCCCTTGAAGCAGGACGTGGCCTATTCATTTGAACAAACTTAAATCCCCTTGAAAAAAAGAGGGTTTTTTGGCAAGTTTGGTTGAAATTGGCCCAGTGGTGCTTGAGAAGAAGTAGAAAATTTGAAAAATTCACAGACAACTTCCTTTATATTTCTTTGTAAAACTATTATTGTGGTCCCACCCTAGCTCTAGGGGGTTATGATTGGAACAAACTTTACGATATCTCAGGATGCCTCCACATGAATATGACTGATAATGGCTTGGGAAGAAGATTTTTAAAGATTCTTCCTATACATTCCCATGTTTAACTTTGATTGCCCATTGTGACTCCACCTTACCCCTGGGGGCCATGAATTGAACAAACTTGAAAATACACTCTCTGAGAATGCTTCCATATAAATATGGTCAATAATGGTTTTGGAAGATGACTGTATCCCTTATTGAAAAAAGATGATTTTTAAAGATTCTTCCTATGTATTCCCATGTAAAACTTTGATCGCCCATTGTGACCCCATCCTAGCCCCGGATCATAATCTGAACAAAGTTCAGATCTGTAAAAATCTTTTAAAGGCATGATCAGTAATATAAATATGGAAGCATCTTCAGTTAGTGTAAATTCAAGTTTGTTCAAATCATTGCCTCTTCCCTTGCCCCTCCCGGGGTAGGGTGGGACCACATATATTTTAAACTTTGAAATCGAACTGATTTCTGCTTTTCTCTTTTCAAAGTGCTCAGGTGGCTATGTGGCCCATGGGCCTCTTCTTTATCCCTTCAGCTACATGTAGTAACAGATGTTGCAGTAATACAAGAACGACGTTTTTTTGTCGTAACTGTTTATGAAAAAAGATATTTTTGAAAACGTTGTTTTGAACTAAATCGATCAAGATATTGTGTGTACTGCTTTTTCTTTCATAACTGGGGCATTATAAGTAGCTGCTTTTCTGCAAAAAACATCAATGAACTTTTTTCCTTTATTTGTGTTTAGCTTAGTTTCAAAGAATGACCTTTGACTTTATTATTTATTGTGTATTAAACTCAGTTTTAAAGAAACTGTTCAAGATATTTTCGCCAAACTTTATACACATATACAGATTTTCATGTTTCATTACGAATAAACCCTGGACAGGACATTCATGTCCTACGGACATATTTCTAGTTTACAAAGTAATTTTGTAACTAAAGGTAACCATATACAAGATATGAAAACTTTTTTTGAGGACGCAGTTGTCTATGAAAACGAAGAACCAGTTATATAATTTATCGTGGAAATGGACATATGAAGCTTTGAAAATCATACGTTTTGATGCTGTATATATTTCCTTTTGAAAAAAGGGGTTATGTGATTTAAAATTTCACAGAATCTCTTAAGAGATTTTGAATCCACATTTTATTTACACCACTTTTATGAAAATGATGTGGCATAGTACGTTTGAATTTTTCACAGTAGTTAATATTTTGCTGAAGAAATAGGATAGCGGCTTGGTTGAACTTTGAATATTAACAAGAAATAAAGGACACTACAGAATCTGCTACATCAGCTTGGATATTTTACTGACTATATACGTTAATAGTCAACTAACAGCTAAACTGTATGACAAACGGGATGACTTCAGCTTTTCCATCGTCAGCTTTTTCCTTTTATGTAGGAATATTAATTCCACAATCACTTACATATTGTGTTTGTGTCTCCCAACTGATTTGATACTCAAAAGCATTTTCTGAGTACGATCCATTTAATCTTAATTAGAGGTAGGCTATTGACAAGTCAGTTGATGTTACAAGGTTTTCAATTATCTCGTTTAAAGTCAGCAATTTGCAAATTAATAATAATGACCTTATTTGCACATGCAAACTCTTGTTTGGTCATATTTTGACTTACATGCTTCCTACAAATTGTTTGACCTTTGTTTTCATTCCATTCTGACGATGAATTACTCCATTAAATTAATTCAGCGGGTTCACGGCGGATGTGACCGGTTGAACAGGGAAAGCTTTCTCCTCCTAGGCACCTGATCCCAGCTCTGGTATTTCCAGGAGCCTGTATGTTTGCCCTGTTCACGATCCGTATTTCTACTGGATTTATGAGATCGTTATCTTCACCTTTTACACGTCAAGCTTTATTTATGTGTGTAACTGAAAACATACAGGTACTCGAAAATGAAAGTCGACAGTAGGCAGTTCTCAGAATAGTTCATCAAGCCACTTTATCATGTTCGTCTTCTATACTTTCATTTCAACTCTGAACAGATCCGGGAATATGTAAGTCAGTATACTGATCTTAATAAGTATATCAAAATATATATGTAAATAGATATTTGAAATTATTTGGCATAAAAGATCCGATAGACAAACATATATATGACAGGGACGCAAAACCTATATCTTAATGAGTATATCAAAATATATATGTAAATAGATATTTGAAATCATTTGGCATAAAAGATCCGATAGACAAACATATATATGACAGGGACGCAAAACCTATATCTTAATGAGTATATCAAAATATATATGTAAATAGATATTTGAAATCATTTGGCATAAAAGATCCGATAGACAAACATATGTATGACAGGGACGCAAAAGCTAGAAGCTCAAGTGAAGAATGCTGTTCTGTTTTTTTGTTTGTTTGTTTTTTTTTTTTTTTTGTTGTTTGTTTTTTCAAACTAAAATATACTCAAACACATGGTACAAACTTTCATTCGCCGAACGATTCAATGAATAATTTTACAGATAAGTATCAGCGTTTCTTTTCAAAATCTCACATGTTTCTCATTGATAAAACATGGCTTGGTAAACATTATCAGTCAACAGCGAAAACCACATTACTCGTAGCCCTTAATGAAGTACTTTCTTGCTCTATTGTATAAATGTATGAGCTGTAATAACGTTCGGGCAGGCCACATAAAACAAATATAGAACACATATGAATTACAGAGTACAAAGGCAATAAAACAAGACGACAAGCGACAGGAAGCTTTTCAGATTTGAGGACACTGCTGTTCAGATTACAGGGATCACCTTGGAAGCCAAAAAGTCACACGTCGGGTAATTTTATTCACAACAAACACTTCCGTCCATCTTTTCCTTCAAATCATGACACTTTTTTCCAATTAAAGTTCATCGATACTCTGATAAGAGAGATAACTCCTAATGACATAAATGTCTATTATTCCTTTACAAATTTGTCATGTTGAAATGTCTGAGTTTTACTTAAAAAATACATTTCTTTTGGAAAATCATAAGAGTTGAAGAAACTTTTTTTATGAGTGAGCAGAAAGTTAATGAACCTTAATTTTTCTATCAGGTATATCAGTAAGACAAATATTGTATGACATTTTTCCTACATATAAGCGACATATTATACTCTTTAGTTACCTGTTGCTTATTGATATTACCAGATATCTTTTTTAAAGTTTTTCTTTCTCATGCAATGATAACATTTTCTTAAACAGCGCAATGAGTAACAACTACACATTAAGTTCATATATATACCATTGCCTTTTTCTGCCTCTGTAAAAGAAATAGAGAATACTTTCGTTTCGTTACTTTCGTTAATTGGCAATTTGTTTGTTTATATTACTGAAAGGCCCTTTTTTGTGACCTGAAATTGATTGTACACTTTATTGCACTTCATTTACTCTAGTTTTAATTCTTTTTTAGACTGCAATAACTATGTCTTTTACATGTGAAATATGCAAGAAAGATTTTAAAAATCAGCATGGATTGAGTATACATTTGTCAAAAATGCACTCAAGACTAACATGTGGAATATGCCAAAGAAGCGATTTCAAAAATGAACAAGGACTCAGCATTCACATATCCAGAATACACCCTCAGGAATGTACTTCATATGGACGAAAAGAAACAGAACTTTATACAAGACAGCATAGAACCGGCAGCAAAGATGGAAGAGGTGAAAAGAGTTTTTCAATGCAAAGAGAAACTCCAAGATCCAAAGATAGACTTCCAACCACCCACAATCCACATGGTAGCACTGTAAAAGTAGATTGTAAATCTTATAGTGGTGCCAAAAGA